TATATTTTTTCTTCTACCCTGAAGATGGAGGCGATACGTTCCTCCAAAACGTCGGTTAACACCACATATACACGGTGCCAAATCCCAGAAGACTGCTTTCTTCATAGTTACCGCCGTGAAAGCCTCAAATCTTACAAAAATAATGCTCCTGCTTCTTGTACAAAAGTATAGCCCAAAATGTCGCAATTTTATCCGATTTCATTTCGAATCTATTACGATTTAAAACACTTGTTCACTTAAGATCCATTTTATTATGATATATTCTTAATATTTACTATGATTTATATTTGCAGGGTTCTAAGCATCTCCTTTTGTCGGTGGTTTGCAAATCAAAATTATGAATCTTGATCATCAAAATTCTAGCTAAATACCCAGTAAATTCAGTCTCCTTTAAGAGTAATAATATAAATCACAAAATATCCCGTACTTGTTCAGTGGATGTAAAATACGCCCTTCTATTACATCATTCTTACGCATTCCTTGCACGAAGTGTGTTTGTTTAAACAACAAAACAGTATGTATTACTCCCATTAATGAGATTCTCTGTAGAGCTATGAACGTTCCAACAATATATTTTTATTTCCAATATTAAGAATATTTTTAATTAATGGTCGGAATATGTCAGTCAATGTAGCGACTGGCTACGTTTTGGATAACCGAGGTTCTCTTTATATAACTTTTCAGGCGTCAAAAATATTAATTCATGAACCATCTCAGCTTTAGCTAACAAAATTATATGAGCATTCAATATGCTTAGTACTTAATACTGTTCATTATTTCTTCTGATATATTTAATAATATTTACTTTATTAATAATATATTCTTCGCGTAGTGGAGGGGGTGGGAATGGAGTCCAGTTGGATCCACTCGGCACGTTGGCCACTGCTTGATCTATTGCAACTGCCCCGGGTGATTATGATGATGGAGAATTTGGTGGAATGAAGATTGGCAGGTGAAACTGAAGTACTCGAAGAAAACCCGCCCCAGCGCCACTTTGTCCACCACAAATCCCACTTGACCAGACCCGGGCTCGAACCCGTGACGCCGCGGTGGGAAGCCAGCGACTAACTGCTTCAGCTATGGCGCGGCCTTAATATATTCTTACTCTTCACGAATATATCTAATTAATGCCACTGTGAAATAACCCACGTGAAATATATACAGCGAATCGAGGGCATTATTACTCCTGCTGCTACGTTGCAATGGCTGCTTGATCCATTATAAAGGCATCCCGTACCATGCAGTGAAGCGAAATATCCCGCCAGCCTGAACTCTTACATGTAATAATTATATTACTGTTTGGGTTGGAAGTTGATATCTGACCCTCAGTTTTTTCATAATTACATTTTTCTTCTCTTTTCGCTTCATGCAGCTACCATAAACGTTAGCCTATATATTATACATAGAGAATTCTGAGAACGACGTGTGGTACATCCCTACAACAAGGTGCATTATCGCATCAATGGGTTTCGGCATTATGGGGGCTGCGGGAACTTTGCCTTTGATCCCAGTCGCTAGAACACTCCGTTTACTCAATGTGTACATTGATCGATTAAACTCAATCATCTGTCACCCTCCAGTGGCAAGCGGTCAGCTTTGTTCACCACCACCGTCACCCTTCTCTTTAAACTCTCCTCCAGCGTTCCCATGTTACCTAATGCACCTGCTGAAATTAACCCATATGGACTTTTCCCTCTGATTGACCTCTTCCTAATTACAATTTGATTGGAAACATCAATTCCCCCCCCCTATCTCTCGCTCTCTTCGAACCTTTGCTTTTCCCTACTTCCCTCTACTGCTCACCGCTCTTGTAAACTCATGGTTGTGGATAATTTGTAGTAAGCACAGTCATGTTCACTGGTCACCTGGCATTATTTTAAAATGTGCTTACATTAACCAAGTGTGTAATGCGGAACCGCGCCGCATGCTACACGGTCAGTCGGATATTCCATTTTTTTGTGGGAGGAATGATGGAAAGGAAAAAAGTATATGGCGAAATAAAAGAGAAACACGAAGCAGCGCTGAGCCGTAAATATTCACGCACAACATGTAGCATGCCTAATTAAACTAATCACTGTCAACGATTTGGTGAGAAATACATGCTCGCACAGGGATAGCCTTTGTTTGGGTCTCTGTTCGGTGTTATCGGCTGAATTGTGCGCATGCGTAGGGTTTGCTACAATTTGACACACACAAACTCACTCAGACACTGAACTATCAGAGAACACTCTATTAGACAAATTGTTAGCTCTATTTGTTACATCTAATAAATCGTTTAAAAATTTTATATTAAAGGCATAGAAAGTGTTTCTTAATGCGAAATTTTAGCATTAAAATTTTGTCCTAGCGAATATTTCTTAATACAGATGTGATATTATATTGCCAGGTGTATCACAGTGACTAAAGAAGGGGTTCGGATTGGTAATTGGATTTATTGGATACTTACAGGCGGTAACTACAAATAACTATAACACTGTTACTATTTTTCACACTTCAAAACTCTCGACGCTAATCTCTTCAGTCTATCTGCACTAGTCTTCATGGATCTATAACAAAGGAACTATAAAAGTCTCACTAAATCCCACACTCCCAATATCATTGCAGTATAGCACACATAAAGTCTTCAAATCACAGGTTAAATCTTCACAGGCTGACTCCCTGTACTTTTCTGTACTCCGCAAACTTACGGCTTGCTTGTTTGCTCGCGTGCTTCTGTTGCTGCTACTCGTAACTCGTAACTACTCTACTCCTCCAGCTTACTACTAGCCTCTTGTTTGCGTGCTTCTGCTGCTGCTACTACTCGTAACTCGTAACTCGTGCTCTACTCCTTCAGCTTACTGCTAGCCTCTCGTTTGCGTGCTTCTGCTGCTGCTACTACTCGTAACTCGTAACTCGTGCTCTACTCCTTCAGCTTACTGCTAGCCTCTTGTTTGCGTGCTTCTGCTGCTGCTACTACTCGTAACTCGTAACTCGTGCTCTACTCCTTCAGCTTACTGCTAGCCTCTTGTTTGCGTGCTTCTGACGCTATTACCCACTCAAAACTCGTTGCTCGTAACTGTCCTGAACGAATTCTGTCATTTACTTATACAGCCGCGGAACGGACATGGACCTACAGTAAACACATATCACCTGATTGCTAGCAAGCCAGTCCATGATCCGTCGGTCGGATCTACAGAAAATACAATTTCCTCTATTTTTGCGCGTTGGATCATGTTTACAGAGCTGTTGCCTGGCAACGTGTTAATAAAATCCGTTACAGTATAACTAAACTGGTACCGTTGCCATATCTGCATTTAATATGGTGTGCGAAATAGTACCGTCTCGCCTGTGACTATCCTTCGCGCTGACATGAAAAGACAGAAATGTGAATGTAAATTCGTGGATGATCTAGCAAATAAACAGTGACATTTATTTTCAACCCTTGTCGTAGAAACAGCTTCAACGCATAATTTGTGTTGCAGATTACTGGAGCCCAATTATAGTCAGGTTTAACTGCAGAGAGATGCCAGGCTACAATTCTTCACCACTCTCAAGACATAATAATAATTCCAATGGAGAAAGATGATTTTAAGCGAGATACCAAGTGAAAAGCTCAGGAAAAGTTATGCATCATATTGTCACGCGTATGCTTGACTGTAGGGTGGATAGAGATTGATTAACAGATTTATTGACCACTTACAAATCGCAATTACAAATAACTATAACACTATCGCTGATATCCACACTTTACAACTCACTACACGCTAAGTCTTTTCAGCCTACAGTGTCTTCGCTAGCCATTGCTTGGTAGCAACTCTCAACAATGGAGATTATTCAGCTTCTGTGCTCACGTCGTTACTGTCCGGCGAATATTCCACAATTGAACTCAATTTCCCAGCTGTCCTAGTCATAACTTCTCGGCACGGAACATATAGAAAACACTCTTCTCCTGTTGTCGCTTTCGTGTCCGGTGTCGCTAGAATGTATTTACCGAGCCGCTGCTCAGAAACGGTTTTTTTAACACCGTTTATTAATGCAGTTTAACGTCATTTCTATGTAACGATCGCAATATAAGGCAAATAGGCAACGGCTCGGCAAACACATTCCTGCGGCAACGAATACGCACATATCTATGTAGTGGCAGACTGCGATTTAATTCACTGTATTATGTCTGGTTTAAACACACAGTATCAATGATCTCTAACGTTGCTACTCTTCTTTTCAGTTGCTAGTGTGGAAGGCCCAGTGTTCAACATCACCAGGGTGAACCGGCTGCATATGGGGGCGTACCTCTGCATCGCGTCCAACGGTGTTCCCCCCACAGTTAGCAAGAGGATCATGCTAATTGTGCATTGTACGTTTTGTTAAAAGTCCCTAGACATTCCTTACTTCAGAATAAACCACTGCACTTGCTCGTATATTGATAGCTTCGACACGAATATTGTGTGCTGACATGAAGGCAAACATTTGCTTTACTAATCTGTCCTAGTCAAGAACTGACCAGAAGTTCCGTATTTCCGGGTTCTTTCGAGATGTTCATATGTCATGTCTACGGAACGAGGTCCGCACCCCTGACTTTTGCAGGATTTCAGTCAGGAATTAGGTTTTCTACAGCTGGCATGGGAAATCAGCTTAGATTAGCCGTATTGAGGTGTATGAAATGCGAATGGATCATCACTGAAATAAATATAGAGTCACCGGTTTGACTGGCAAGAACGTGTTCTGGCAAGATGGCCTCATAATAATGTACAGATCTTATTTATGCACCAAAATTTCAACTACGTCAGAAGAGAAGTTCTGCATTCCTGAGCTCATTAAGACTGTGATGCTCTGAGTTAAAAAAAAAAAGCAGCATGTACCATGTTAGGTGGCTACCGGCCAGTGGTGAAGGCTTCAAAAGCACAGAAAAAAGCAACTATTTTTTCTAAAACGTTGGTAACAACCTACTATGAAACTACACGTCATCATGGCCTTGAAGGAGCAGCATCTAGCTTATAATACTTCACTGTTTTCCCTGCTGATGCTAATGTGTGCTGTAACTTGACGAACGTTAGTTCCGACAGTTACTATGAAAAAATGAAGAACCGCCTCCAGGACGGATTCCGAGGCCTATGGTTTGATGCCATGCTGACTCTGAACCCTACCACTGTAATGAAATAGGGTGAGGTGTATGTATAATTTTGGAAATGACAAATCGAATGCTGAGAGAGATATGCTGGTGAATTACGATTATTAGTGACAATTTTATGCCAAATTGCAATAGAATATAACTGCTAAATTTGAATATCTGGGACCTCTATTTATTTAATTGTGTACAATGCTAGCCAGTTTATGCTGTATACATCACTGAGTTTTAATTTTCAGTTCCTCCAATGATATGGATCCAAAATCAACTGGTGGGAGCATATGAAGGTCAACAGATTACCCTTGACTGCAATTCAGAAGCGTATCCGAAGTCAATTAACTACTGGACAGGAGAGAAAGGAGAAATTATAGCTCAAGGTAATATGTAAACTCTATGATATAAATATTTCCTCCTATAATTATGCTAAATCACACAGTTGCTGATTATATATAGAATCGTCCTATAAACATGTACATTTACAGTAGCTGTATTAGGTGAAAATAGGTTTTGTGCCTAATCTATACTACAAAAGTTAAAAAATACTCCCCTTATCTATACTAGTATATATTAATGGACATGATTGGAAATATATATGAACAAAATATTAGAAAAGACGATCCGCCGCGTGAGTATTTTAATGATTTTCTTAGGCCTATAGGATATATGGGATATGTACTCTATTTCTGACGTATATTCAGCTCAGTACGACATGTCTACTCGTATGTTAAGAAGAAAGCATTCTTTATTTTCAAAACTTCGGTTCGATTTCAGATATTTCAAAACATAAAAGGCCTGAAAGCGTTTGATGTAGTAGTTTCTAAAACCGTTGTACAATTCCTTTTTTTTTTCCTTGGCACTATAGCCCCAGTGGGCCTAGGCCTACTTCCATGAACTTCTCCATTCACTTCGGTTTTTCTAGATCTTACATATTCCGTAGGACTCCTTGGGCGGGTGATCAGCTCGTATACAGACACAGAAAAACGAATACACACAAACTAAACATTCATGCCCTGAGTGGGATTCGAACCCACGATCCTGGTTTCCAAGCGAGCGAAAACAGTACATGTCTTAGACCTCTCGGCTACCGTGACCGGCGTACAATTCCTTTATTGGGAGAATTCTAATATACTTATTACTGGAATGCAATAAACAATATTGTGATGTGTGAGATTATGATGTCTTCATTATAGTTATTAATGTGAAGTTGACGAAATAATCTATTTAATTAAGGACTTAATATATAGCTTTATATTTCTATTGACCGCACATAGATAAGAATCCGCTACAGGCCTATCTGCAGTTTGTTTCTTGGTGCAGAATGGACTATTGCATGATGCATTACCATTGCTTCAAAATATATGTCTTTTTAATTTGAAACTGCGAGGCATACTTTTGTTAATAATTTTACATTTATTAAGACGGATATAAAATATTTGAATGATAATGCAGAGAAAATTGTTTTATGTTTTGCAAGAGTAAAATTTGAAATGTCCTAGAATTGAAATCTTGTAACTGACATGTCAAAATTTTCAGATTTTATTGCGTGTGGCGACACGAATAACTGAATATTGATATAAGTTATAACCGTCCTGATTCTGAACCAATCCCCTTTCGGAGTTTTCTGATGTTCGCTAGATAAGTAAAGTTTCAGAAAAATTTGCCATGTTACAGTGGAATGCAATGATATCGGCTAAAATTAAGTACGATTTGGTGATCATGCTCTCGCTTAAGATTAAGATAAAGTAGAGCTTTTAAATATGACTGGGACAATTTCTACAAAATAAAAGCAAATATGCCACGATTTTAACTCCTCGCCCTTATGCAATCCTTAATAATAACTTCTTCTAGTGCATGTTATTTCAAACTCGGTAGAAAGTGAGGAAAGCGTGGAAAGTTAGGCATACTAATCTTCCCATATCACTTCAATACAACAGGTTCACATCAGATGAAATTATGACACAACAGTTTGAGCCCGGTATTTCAAGGGCGATTAGGAAGAATGCTATTTTCTCGGAAATAATGCCATATAGACCACACAAAATCAACAAACGTATCATAGAAACGTGTGGCCTCCACTTTCAGGGTCGACGTTTAAGCCAAGCAAGAAGCTAACAATAATCAGGCAGCAAACAGATCTCTACTCGCTACCTGATTTATACTTCGACCCTGAGGATAGAGTCGATATGTTTCTCTGAAATGTCGGTTGACTTTCAATGACTACACGGCGTTATACCTCAGAATATATGATATTTCAGAAATATTCCCTGAAAAACTTTGGAATTTCTGTCTAAAATACTAGGATAGAAGTATCTCTGCAACCCTCAGAGAAACTTTTGTAGTGGTTAGGCCAACAACTATGTGCTTTTCAATATGTAAACAGAAACGGCGAGTGAAACAGACTTCTTAACTCAATTTAGAACCGAGGTTAATAGTACGTGGAACGTAATTCCCAGTTCCCCATACTCCACCCATGCTAGGTGCTAAGCTCAGAAGTAACTTTGCCATTAATATATGGGATTTACTGTAATCTGATGCTACATATAGTTATTTTTCAGCTGAGGCTGTTGTTCAGTGACTTTATATATTAAGAATATTTTTATATATAAGGGACGGGCTCCAAGCTCTCAAGTAGAGACTTGTGTCACTGTGCAAAAAGAGCGTTTCATCACCAAACTTTATGCAGCACCACGGAGTTTAGTGTAACAGATCTAATGAAAATGAAAACAAAGATCTGAGCCTATGTACATGAGCCAGACTAGGGCTCGTGTGTCTTTAATAATGGCCCTAGTGCAGAAAGGAAAACAATATCATTTATCAGCTAACAAAGCAGGGGTTTTTCGAAATGCAATGGGATTAAGTATCCAAGCCATGAGTGAGTAACTAGAAGGAAAGGCCTGGATGTAACGAACATCCACAGCTGAAGCCTACGGACATGGCGAAGGAGTTAAGACAAAATCCTCCAGGTAAACACACTAGAGGAGCGAGAAAATGGGTAGGCTTAAAATAAATTTCACTAACGAACACAATGATAGATCAAAACAGGTATAAATGCTAGCAACATTTTCTTTAAATTACGCCTATTTTAAATTATTATTATTATGTTGATTAAATTAAATATCATATATAACAAAAAGAAAATTACTTTCCAAATATTATTTCTTTAGCATCATATTCTGAATATGTAAATTTTGGTTCGTCCATTCCTCCAGAATTTATTATATTCGTCACCATACTTGTGTGATGTGAATTAGGTGTACATATTCTAGACTGAATTTCATTAGCCTTTCTTTACACGAGTATGGCTAAGGTTTCCACATAAATATTATTATAATGCCTCAATGTCTGCTAATATTTTGTCTGAGATTTGATATGAAGAAAATATTTTTCTTTGTTTTAATAAATATATCCAGTGTAACAAACTATCAAGTATATTTCTCTGTTTGCAGAAGCTCCCTACATGGATGCCAAATCAGCTCACAATAGTATTACAGTATAATAAGCAGCTATTTCCTCTGTTTTAATAACTTGTTGGTGTTCTTGAGAAAGAGTGTAATGTCGACTTTCAGATTTCCGTCTTAAGAAGTTCCCCACGCAATTCCGGTGTTTCTTCTCGATAACAAAACAGAAAAATTTTATGGTAACAGCAGATATGAAGAATTTTAATATTAATGTCATTTAATTTGACCTGGCCAAGATTAAAACAGGTTGCCATCTCTGCAAAGGGAACCAGGGGCTAAAACTCCAAAACTCCCCGTGCGAAGAAGAGGCAATTGATGTAGGCATCTTGTGTAGATATCAAATTGCAATCAAGGGAGCCAAAATTATAAACGACACTTTCAAAAGCGATTCAGGCGTTCGGCCCCACTACCCAGTGCACTGTAAAGCAATGGAGAGTGAATTTACGAACTAAGTTACAGATACGATCTAAACACTCGTGACGATGGTATATTAGTAAAATTCTTTTGTTTCTGCATATTATCCATCGTCCTGTTTTTTATTTAAAACAATGTTTCGGACACTTGATTCTGTCTCCGTCTTCAGATAAAAACCTACTACGGAGATGCAGGCTAGCTCTATCCATCTGGCCCAATAGAGTCTGATTTTACCTGAAGACGGAGACAGAATCCAATCTCCGAAATGTTGTTTTAAATTATACAAGGACGATGGATAATATCAAAAAACACAATAATTGTATTAAATTGCAGATGATGTAAAAGCGGGGCTACAAGGGCCAGTGATTTCCATTTCGCAAATCCTGTTAACTCACTGAATTTCTCTGGCTGAAACCTTCTCGAAAAGCCGCCGGTTATGCAGCTACTCAAGAATTTTCCAACTGGGATCGTAGGTTTGATCACACTTGAGGCATGGATGTCTGTGTATATTCTGTTTGTGTTGTCCTATGTGCAGGTAGCGGCCTTTCGAAGGTCTGATCCCCCATCCAAGGAGCCCTACTGACTGTGCAAAAGATGAAGAAACTGAAAAGCCACCAAGGTTCAACAAAGGGCTGTGGACCCATAGAGAGATAGATAGCTAGATAGATAATAGATTCTATTTGCATTCCTCCTCTTCTTCATTCGTGTTACATTCCCTGTCCATCTCAGCCTCCTTGACTTGATTATTCTAATTATACTTGGCGAAGAGTAAAAATTATTAAGCGCTTCATTATGCAGTTTCCACCAACCACCTGTCATTTCATATCTCTTCGGGCCAAATATTCTTCTTAGCATCCTGTTCTCAAAACACCCTCAGTCTATGTTCTTCCGTTAATGTCAGAGATGACGTTTTACACCAATGCAGAACCACAGGCAAAATTATAGTTTTGTATATTCTAATTTTTATGTTTTTAGCCAGCAGATGAGTAGACAAAATGTTCTGGATTGAATGGTAGCAAGCTTTATCCGAGTTCAATCTCCTCTTAATTTCCTCTTGAATCAGGTTTCGATTTGTTACCGTCGTTCCCAAATTTCAGAACTGTGCCACATTTTCAAAGTATCAGTTAGCTATTTTTATGTCATGATTTTGCCCTGCATTTTGGTGACGAGACGGTAACATATACTTAGTTTTCTCTGTGTTTACTTCCAGACCATTCTCCGTACTAGCGTCAACTAAATTTTGTGTAAGATTTGAGGCTTTCACGGCGGTGACTATGAAGAAAGCAGTAACCACATATACACGGTGCCAAATCCCAGAAGACTGCTTTCTTCTAAATTTTGTGTGTTTTTCGTTATGGTATCTGTATTGCTACCTAGTAGATTCACATCATCAGCATANTTTTCTGTGTTTAATTCTAGACCAATCTCCGTACTAGCGTCAACTAAATTTTGTGTAAGATTTGAGGCTTTCACGGCGGTGACTATGAAGAAAGCAGTAACCACATATACACGGTGCCAAATCCCAGAAGACTGCTTTCTTCTAAATTTTGTGTGTTTTTCGTTATGGTATCTGTATTGCTACCTAGTAGATTCACATCATCAGCATAGAGCAGTAGCTCGTGTGTCTCATTTAATTCCAGAAATACTTGGTTTCCCTGGACCTTCCTAATAGCATATTCTAAAGCAAAGTTGAAAAACAGTGGCAATAAACCATCTCCACGTTTTAGACAATTTTGAATAGGAAAATTATCAGACAAGTGTTTACCTATCCGAACTTTACTATACTGNGTTTCTTTTTAATCAGCTTAACTAGTGTCATGGGTATCCCAAACTCTATCAGAATACTGTAGAATACTTTCCTCCTAAGCGAATCATAGGCTTTCTTGAAGTCTGTGAATAGCTGATCTACTGTCTTCTTCTACTCTCAGTTTTTTCTCTGGTATCTGACGAATATAACATTTGTTAAGTAGTTAATTTTTACGTCGAAACCCAAAATGATGAATCGCAAATTTTCATCTATATATGAACTTAGCAAAGTCTGTTACAAAGAGATAAGCAGTTACTCGTATATACTAATTTTGAAAAGAAAAATAACCTAATTCATACAACATTTCGATCTTGACCTTTTGGTCTCAAATATTCTAGTCTCAGGAATACTGTCATTTGAATTTCAGAATACGCAAACTGAGAACATATCCGTTACCTGTCGCGTCCGTTACTACCGGGTGCACACTACAATTAAAATTGTAAATTATTACATACTGGTAAATATTTATGATATCTCACAAAACACTTTTTTTCTGAACTGAAGACCGTGTAAGGAAGAGATTGAAAACTTGCGATTTTCGAGCAGAAAAAGGCAAAGAAATACTGCCGACAGTTTTTTTTCTCTGTATTTTATATCAATTAATACTGACGTACAGAATATTCACCATTACGTGGCGGATATGCTATAGTATAATTCTCTCATGGTTTCCTTCAGTGTGTAAAGGCCAACGCTGTGGAATTATCATTATAAAACTACGCGGGCCAGCGGGTATCCCATTTCCTTCCACGAAATAATTAAAAGCGAAAGCGGATACATGAACTACATGAAAGCGGGGGGGGGGGTAGAGGAAACATCAAAGGGTAAGAGCGGCCTGCGGTGTTTATTAACGGAGCGAAATACTCTTAAAAGTTCAGAATCGTGTGAAATAAATAAGGACACAAAAATGTTAGACTTATATTATCTTCATCTGAGTTGTATCCCCGTGTAGTCTCATTTCCACAAACTCAGAGAAATAACTGAAAATGTCTTGTTTCGTAGTGTTATGCTTAATATTATATACAATATGTATAACATGTAATATAATATTACACATATTAATATCACTCAATTTCAACGATAAGCCGTAGAAGAAAGCTAGTACGGGGTCAAGAAGGCAATTGATTAAAAGACTATAATGATGAGGACAATGTGCGAGCCCATTTGAGAGTCGTCGCTGTTTAAGAACCTCATCTGTTTGAGACCGAGGTTTAGAAACCCGCTCAGAATAAGGACGTATGCCCGACTTTGTCTGTATTGAAGAAAGCAGTCTTCTGGGATTTGGTACCGTGTATATGTGGTGTTAACCGACGTTTCGGATGAACGTATCGCCTCCATCTTCAGGGTAGAAGAAAAAATATAAGAAATCTGCAAGCTAAGAGACCGTGAGAACCGGTAAAAGCAGACTGTCTGTATTGTCTTTTGGAAGTAAACGCTTTGTGATATACTGATTCCCATGTGGGAAGTCCTCTCACCCGTGTGAAGAGAAGTGAAAGGAGCGCGCAAGTGTGTGTTATAGGCATCATGAGCGACATCTACGATATGTATGTTCCCGGATAAATACAAGACTAGATCCCCTTTTATTCAACCAAGTTTACACTTAACCAGAAGCTGATATGAGTCAGACTGAAAATTTCTAAAGCTCATTAAAAAGCATGGTGAAACGATAATAAATACTCCGTTAAAATTCTCAATAAAACAGTTGTATGTGGGCTAGTAGAAATCTTAGAATAAACGGACCGAACTCGGGAAGGAGAGCAGATCGATAGAATAAGCTTATCTCTATCTACACCACTGCGAAATTCCACAACATCAGAAATTTTACAACAGTCATAGCATATATTATCTTGCTGCTGTAAGATGGAATTTCCAGAGTCTTTCGTAATGAAGAAAATATTCTTGCAGAATTTGTAGAACAGGAAGTGGCAATGATTATAAAGTATATTAGATTATAGATAACGTTTCGACTAACGACACGAAGATAAACTTATTCAATATAACTCTGGGATCTATTTATGAAAATGCTTACAGATGCATCCCTCATAATATCTGAGGGAATGGGGAAAAAATATTTTCTTCCTACGAAATACAGTTACAAAAGAGTGTTTCGGCATGAAGAGAAACGAACAAAGGTCTGCTGATTTGTATATAAAGATGAAATTTTATTTCATTATTTCTGAATGAGGGATACCATCTTCTGGGATGTGGCGCCGTGTACATCTTGTGTGAACCGACGTTTCGGAGAAAAGTATCGCCTCCATCTTCATGAAAAAACTCCGCAACAGAGGAACCAACTTGAGGAGGTGGCTGCAGTCACATCCCAGAAGACGACATTCTTCATAGTCACCGCCGTGAAAACCTCAACTCTTACATATTTCTGAATGAATCCACGCTTTATGGAATATAATTCTTCATTAGCAAGTTCGGTAATAATTACAAGCTCATTAGGGTCAAATGTATGTACCACACCATGATCAGATTAAGGAACAGGTTGATCCGTTCCGAGCTCCGTGTCTACCATCGAGAATTACGGCATCCGCAGTGCTACCCACTGTCCTTAAAAATGAAAATTCATTCCTGTTCACAGGTGGCAGGTATGAGCCAGTGCTGCTGGACAATGCCTATAAAGTACATATGAAGCTGACCATCCGGTCCGTGGGTCCGACGGACTTCGGTACCTACAAGTGCGTCTCCAAAAATTCACTGGGTGACACGGACGGGAGCATAAGGCTTTACCGTAAGTACATATATTCAGTGACAATAGGACAATATGTTTCAGTAGTTCCAGTTCCCACACTCTTGTTACGGCGTTTGGAAATAAACATGACACTCCAAATAAAAATTATGAAAATTTAAGTGTAAAAATAGATGACACGGACTCATTAGGGCTATGAAAATGAACCTTACTGGCCTAGGAAGGTCAGCAATAGGCTGATGCTCGAGTGAAGTAGATATTGTGGGCAAGAGGATTACTAATCGAGTCATTTTTTATTTAACGATGAAATAATAATAATTGATGACATGCAACATTGGATTTTCAAGATATGATGAATGAGGACTATAAGTTGGAATGAGATTTTGAAGAACTGCCACGAGATTTACATTAGTGAACTCACGAATTATTCGAACATTTCAATTACGAAAACCACTCAATGAATTTAGTTTTGAAAGTTTCACAATGCGACCTTCCGTTTCTAGGTCAGAGCACTGTAAAACGTCGGTGTAAAAACATTGTGCATACATTCTAATATAGATTAATCTTCATTAGGTTACCTTGGAAACTAAACTGACTGCTGCTTTGTACACCACTGTTGGTGTACCCACCAACAATAAATTGCGCCCGACAAAAATAATATTTCGCGTTTGGACTCCAAGTGGGCAAGCCATTGCACTCCTGGAGATTTAAGTCTTGTAGCTTCATTTTGCGAGACGGTTTCAATACACTGGATTAATCCAATCAAATTGTAATACCAGTTTTAAAGGAAACAGTAATTTTGTTTTGATAGGCCTTCTGAAAGGTTCTTATTTGTGTAGCTAGAATATTCATATTCACTGGAGACCAACCTATGACGGATAGAATTTTAAATGCCGAATATAGGTAGTGTTCATCTCACCTTCAAGGCGCACATCCATACATACGTCTGTATCTCCAACAACTTTGTGCACTCAGATCTCTCTGAAACTTGTAAATCCGTCAAAATCTCGAGACAGATTTTCCCGTCATCACTGAACTGCGCCATACATAGGCCTACTATATATATGAGAGCGGGAAATTTGGAGTGGTTTCCTAACTTCCTAATCAGGCGGATAGTGTATGATAAAATGTTATGAAGATAATTGTCCTTGTGTAACAGTAATTTACAACTAACTAAGTGCTGAAGTGGTGGAAGCATTATATGTCACATTGGACTGAAATGAACTTAATTGTAAACCTGTTAGCGTGACAGACCAGAATGAAACAAATTAAAAAAAAGGAACAAATTAAAATTAATTTACAATTATAGTCTGAAGGATAAGCAGACCCGGTAACACCTATCATATATTAATTGTAATAAATCACTACTTGGAAGAGAAATTATGATCTTTGCTACACGAACTTCGCTAAAAGAACTAAGTGTTTAATTTTAGTCTTATAAACAAATTCTTGTTCTACAAATCCACGCTGGAGGTGTACCTGCTATAATTATTATGCCTGTATAATATGTGAAGTCTTTTGACACTCCTGTCCAAAATATGAAGTGCCAATATTAACCAATATAATGGGCATATGAACTAAATTTATAATTCCTCTTGATGTTACGTGCACAAGCAGTAGTCCCATATTGATCCTCCCATCCTTGTCATGTAATCCAGTATTGATATTACACCTTTGCGGCGTCCTAATGGACTCAGCTAATATACTATGGGAAACTCACACGGTGTGTTCTGCTCATAGTCCCTAATGCATCTCACAAGAATAAGGGGTGGGCAAAGGCAAGAGGGCGGGGGGTGGTGTAAGGTAACATATTAGGCAAGAAGGGAGTCTCTCACAAAAAGGGTTCTCAGGCTTGAGCCATAACTAAGTTTTCGTTACTGTTAAAAGGAAAACTGACTGAAGTTCTGTCTGTGAGACCCTCTGCATTGAGTTTTCGCCTTTCTGTCTGTAACTTTTACAAACGAAACATCAGATGGTAGACCTGGTGCTGCTGGTGTGTTGTGGGAACTCTATAGTGCAGGATGTTCAATACGCAATTAAATTTAAGGTATAAAAATAAGTTTTGTGCAAGACAAAACTATTTGTATATTTTCGTACAGGCTAACTAATGAGCCGGTCACGGTAGCCGAGCCGTCTGAGGCATGTACTGTCTTCGCTCGCTCGGAAACCGGGATCGTGGGTTCGAATCCCACACAAGTGATGGATATTTGTTATGTGTATATGTGTATTCTGTTTGTGTTGTCCTGTGGTTAGATAGAGGCCTTGCGACAAGCTGATCATTCGTCCAAGGAGTCCTACCGTCTGTGAAACGATCAAAATGAAAAAAAAAAAACTCGACATCGTAAAGGTATAAGAGGAACGGATTAAGTAGGCAAGTAAGTCAGCTAACTATGGAAGTAATAAAATAATCAGCTTCATTACTTACTTAATTACTTCATTGATCAAGTCTTTCTCTAGTGGTTAAAAGTCGTTCAGATACTTAACAATTTCCCCGCCTTTCATTATCGTGTTCATATCCCACGTATGCCTAATTCTGCCCACCTGTACCTCATATTCAGGTTTCCCAGTTTAAATTTTGTATGCATTCCTTATTTCTCCACCGAGCATTCTTGCATAATGGACTTACAGCGCTCATGAGATGAGAAATGAGTACAAAATTTTAGTCAACAAGTCTGAAGGAAAGAAACCACTTGAAGATCTGCTCTTGTGATTTATTTAACGACGCTGTCCTTACCTCAGAATACATGGGAGTTATTGGCAAGAAGACTGAAGAATAATGAATTAGAACGAATTCAAAACGACTAGGTCGTGGCGTAGTTTCTAGTTTGTCTCGGCACTCGACTGGGGCACTGAAAAGAACAGTGAAACACCTTAGCCGGTAGTTTAAACACGGGTCGTCTAGGATAAAAAACAGGACAGTCTCCCACTCTAACATGAGATGTGATATCTGGACGTTGAGGAGAGTGTACTTTAGAAATGGATCCTTATTAAGTTGGGTAAGATGATGTGGAGTGGATTAATGTGGCTCAGAATAGAAACCAGTGGCACGCTCGTTTGAGGACGGCAATGAAGCATTATTTTCCACAAAGCGTGTGATTATTTACCAGCGAAGCGTATTTTAGCTTCCCAGGAAAGAATAGTACGCTACATGGAAAAATTCATACTTTGTCATTTTTTAACTTAGATTTAAATCTCAAGAAAACAAGTACAAGAAGCATGTGCTGTCGGTATATGGTTCTGCGTGATTACAGCTTTAAACTTTTGTACTTGGCAGTGATGATAGCATGTGAACATGTAAAGCGCAGCGTCTCAGCCGCTGTATTTTGTGCCGTCTCGTGTTACGGTTTTTAATTGTACTAAACGATTATCCTAGAATCTGCGTGTTTTCAAGGATCTGTCACCACACGAGCGAAGACATTTTATTATAAGACGCTACGATGTTGCAGCCTCATGAATTTGGACGATCGCAATGTAGTTACGGCCGACAAGGTGTTGGACTAGAGGGACATGGAATGACCTCCAGTGAACAGTTTTCAGACTAAAATCGGTAAATCGTATCGCACCGAACAATGCGGCTTAAGCAGTAACATTTCTAATCTGTATTCGTACTGTGCCCAATTCGAATCTCGGAGTGACGGAAGAATTTCTAAATTAGGTCAATATCGCTTCCTTCCTCACCCTTCAAACTAATTCAGCAATCATTCTAACTCCAATAACAAGTAATCTGAGCAACTGACATCTTAAACATGATAAATAAACTTGTCCATATATGACTCAGGACACACAGGGCAAACGTGTATACTATATATACATATATATGCAGCTTGTAATTTGGGATTCCTAGAACTAACTCGGAAAAAGCCACAACTCCACAAATATATCAACTCGTAAAATATATATATATATACAATATTATTCTTGTTTCCCCATCTCTGGAGGTGAATACGGTCATGGTATATGAAGCTTACTGTCTTCGCTCGCTTGGAAACCGGGATCATGGGTTCGAATCCCACACACTGCATGGATGTTTAGTTTGTGTGTGTGCGTTTTTCTGTGTTTGTATATAGGTAGAGGCCTTGCGACGAGCTGATCACCCGCCCAAGGATTCATACCGAATGTGTAGGATCTAGAAAAACCGAAGTGAACGGAGAAGTTCATGGAGGTAGGCCTAGGCCCACTGGGGCTGTAGCACCAAAGAAAAAAAAGATATTAAGCTTAATTATAAAATTACCACGTAATTTTATTAATCAGTTAAACAATGTGCGGGCGGACGGACACACAGAATATATGCATATAAACTCGTATTTTCTAAAGTTTCTTAAAGGGACAGTAATCAGTTTCAACAGTATGATTGAATTCTTGTAAACTGTAATGATCTTATGCGCATGCGTGCAAAGCAGACAATTAAATATTTATTAAGTCTGATGCGTTATTTTAACAGTAATTATGTTCTGAAGCTGTATACTCGTAAATATCTTACTCCATGTAAACAGGGCAATAGTTAATACGTACTATAATAAAATTAAAAGTATTTGAAAATAAGAAAGAAACTGAAAAAAAAAAGAATTGAATTTTTAGGAAAAATACATAAAACCTCCAGTTGTCAGAATAATATTAGTTTTAATATTTAAATTGCGCTTTCCTGTGGGTTTTATATTTTTGTCACGTATTTACATACTCTTTTTTTTTTCTGGTTGTACCGAACGGTATGCTGTAACAGCAGGTGGACCTATGACAGACCTATACTCATGCATGTGTGCTTTGTTAATAATACAGTAACAGCGGCATTAGAAACGGAAACATATTGTATTGCATTCGGATTATACTAGCTTTCCTTTTTACAAAAATGTCAGTGTATTGGCCATCTCCCCCTCCCCGTTTCTGACAAGGGTGTCACCATCTTCCTTTCCAGAACGCATTGTCAGTCTTAAGATGCTGAAGAAGAATCCAGAAACACGATTGCAGTTTCCTTTTCTCTGTGAAGGTACTGCGCAATCTTTCTTCAATTCCGTTAAGGCAGGCGTTGCAAAATGACTAAAAATCAAAGAGTGTGATGTCCAGAGCAACCCTTTCTTGGAAACTATGAGAAAACTAAAGATGAACTGCAGAACACAGTGGCCACGCGGTCTGAGCCATGAAATATCTTCGCTCGCTCGACTATTGGAATCGTGGCTTCGAATCCCGCTCAAAGCATGGATGTTTCTCTGCGTTTATTCTGTGTTTGTGTGTGGATAGCAGCCTTGCGACGGACTGATAACTCATCCAAGGCGCGCTACCGACTGTCTAAGTTTAAGAAACTGATATGAAACGAAGCATTTCACGGATGCCCTATGTTGCAAGTGGGAATAAGGGGGATAGATAGATAGATAGATAGATAGATAGATAGATAGATAGATAGATAGATAGATAGATAGATTAATGAAATTAAGCAAATACAGAATATCTAATGCTGGAAAGACATTGAATTCCCGTAACTACGTTGATGGTGCACGTCGAACAATGAGAAAATCTCTCTCTGGCATAAAACGGTAGAAATTCTTTTGTTTCAGCTTAAAGAATTACTTAATTTTTAAAATGGGGAGACTCTCTTTCCATTCCAGATTCTCCATTATATCATCTTCCTCTTATGAGGTAAACAGAAGGATCTGATGACTTTACATTATACTACGACTGAAGAGAGCGATCTAAGATCATTTCGTTTTCTTTTAGCTAAGTCTGGATTTCAGACTCTAAATGGTTGAGGGATTCCAACCCCTTCAAACCAGATCAATGACGCTGTTCAACCATGTGGTGCGGGCCACATAATATATCACTGGCCCAGAAGTACTTTCCTCTCCTTTCTCCCTTTCTCTTGAGGTAAGCTCTAGTGACGATTTTTCTTCCTCCAGCGAGAGGAATTGAATGAGAACACTGAACAGAATTTCTTACTTCTCCTTCAATTTTTACTTCGCAAAATAGAAAAAAAATCTGTGTATGCAGAGAATTGATAGTTAGTTACTGGGCATACAAGATAGCAGCAGAATGTACGTATTTTAGAGTATTAAAATCTACTGTTAAAAAGAATATAAAATTGTAACGCTCGAATGGACACGGAAGTGTACGTGAAAAAAAATTAGAGCTTTACTTATTTCCAAGTTGCTACTCTCTGCTGTGATGTTTGGAATCTACATAGTTTTCTCGAAATTTATTTTCCATTATGTTTCATTGCTTTTATCACATTTGTATCTCATTTATAAGATCAAGCCGACTTCAACTAATCTATTTTTTTTTTAATTTTTGGTTATATCTTATGCCAGAGGTTAACAAACATTTTTTGAGTGACGGACGTCTATGACAGGCTTGAAATTCGTATAGGGAACCGCACGAATATACAGAAGATAATAGATACGAACTCAAATAATCAGAATATTAACAACATTTTACTTAGCTTCAGCATTTCAATACATTTTCCAAAACATTTTAACAAAATGGATCTCACAAGAATCAGATACCTAATGAACAATAAGCAATTATCTTATGAATTTTGCCTTTGTTCAAAACCAGGCCCTCAATTAATGTGTCACCTTAACATTAAGCATTTAGAGTATCTCAAAACTTGACAGAAATTCGGTTCATGGAGCAGAAACCATCTCGTACTTTACAGCGATCGCCGAACTTTTGAGAAATTTTCGTAATTATTTAAAATTATCACGGATGAACCAAAATCCTTTGGTAGGTATCAGTGTGCCTGCGGACCTTCGGTTGGCGATCCCTGTCCTCATGGAGCCAACGATCGGATTTTAAACGAATGCAATCGATTCATAACCCAGAATAACATGAGATGCTCGCGCGCTATAGCAAGAGTGTGGAAAAGGAAGAGTGAGTGTCTTTGTGCAAATTCCGTATAGAGCCACAGAAGTCGGCGTGGCTAGAATATATATATATATATATTTGTGTTCTTCATGCCTGGGCTATCTTCATCTTATAACAGATTTTACTAGTTTGCTACTAGATTTTGTTGTTTTCGTATATTATTTATGTGGTATCTGGTTTCTTTTGCATGAAGCATGCTCCTGTTTCTTTATTGCAGCCATTCCGTCTCCTCTAACTCCCCCCAGGACCACTATTATCACCATTACAACCACAACCAAGGACATAATCAACCCTCTACCGGAAGGTGAGATACGTCTACAAGCCCCCATCTGAAACTTGCTTCAACGTAGCTACAAGCCGTAATATATTACAGAAAGTAATTCTGACTCCTTTAGTAACTGAAATTTTGAATAGTTTTATTTTCGTATTTATATGAGACGAACTGGCTTATGAAGTCTTACCGTCTAACAGTCAACACATGAGGCATAAAGCAAATCAGAGTTAAAGGTAACCACTATTTTTAAAAAACCTATAAGATACGAGTATATGTATACTGCAAATCTGCTTTATAAAATTGGAGCCATTTTAATGAAGTCTGGATTGGTGTTGTATTGATATCAAACACTATGTGTTCCTAGCTTCATACTGTTTTATTAGTACGCGACAAAGCAATGAGTATATTTTATCTGCAGGCAATTAGTTTAGAAGGTTATAAGGTGAAAGAAGTTATAACAAAGAGCTGGTCAAATTTCCCCTGTAGGACATCTGTCCCTGACACTCTTGTAATGCCAATAAATTAAAACCCTTTATGAGTTCTTGTGGATGTAGAGAATAACTAATTGAACATCAACTACAATTAGCAGTAACACAATTAAATGTGCCTTTTAGCATTTAACATTAATGGACAGTTCTCATTTCCGGTAGCCATTGTAGTGTAAATAAGTTTCATTTTAGTGTAGGCAATATTTTGCAAATGATCGGAATTTCAGATGAATAACGTTGCAAATAAATTTAATATATCTCTGTTATATATGATTCATTAAAACTTCTTTAAAACTCTTCTTCGCAAATAAGCATAAGTTCCATAACTGAAATATGAAATGAATTTCGGATAACTTATCACGTGTAACGGATAAATAGTGGAACTGAATGTGCTCTCATGTGCTACGAACGTAAGCTCAGATGAAGAGAATGTTAACGGTATAATATTTTCATCAATATTATGAATGATGATTGGATGATCCATTTTATGTAAAACACGTTCTTCCTAACGGAAACAGCATCTTAACAATATGATGTATTTATATATATTGGTATAGCTCATTGGACAGTCTCTGTGGTCTAATACTCAGAGTTCCCGGCTACAGATCCAGAGGTCCGTGTTCGATTCTCGGCGCTACCTGATATTTTTCTGAGAAGTAGTGGGCCTGGAACGGGGTCCACTCAGCCTCGTGATGATAATTGAGGAGCTATTTCAAGGAAATAGCGGCTCCGGCCTAGAAAATCGAAATTAACGGCCGTGGGGATTGGTTGCGCTGACCACGCGACACCCTCTATCCACTAAAGTTGGCACTAACTTCGGCGAAAAGAGCGAGTCGCTGGTCGGTATAATTCGCTTGCGAACTAAAACTACGGAGTTTGTTTTTGGTACAGCTCATTAGTTTGAACTTTCATATGCAAAATTATTATTACAGTATTTATATAAAAAATCGAGATACTAGTATATGTTTCTAAAACAAAATAGAGTGTTCTGTTCAGCTACGTTCATTATCTTCCGTTAACGACTATTTCCAAATTAGGAAACTTCAGTTACCAATCCGATACGAAACGTGTATATACTCGTATAATTTTCTGAATAACCATGAATTTTAATGTATACGGAAAATAATAAATAGGACCATCTTTATGTCAGAAAAGAAGGTAAAATATTACACGCGAAGGTATATATGTGAGGTGAATATGCTTTCCAATGGTTATAAACTGTCCTATTTACTTCAATCAACATTTGTTCTTATTTTACCATGAAAGAAGCACATGATTTTTCGCTATTGTATATGACTGTTAATTATATGTTTTGCAATTTCATTACCTCATAATTGTTTATGTGTTATTTTAGACCTTCACCGTTTAACACCATAAAATATTCATTTGAAAGTTAATTGTATTTGCAACAAGGCGTGGGATGCCTAGATCATGCCTGAGAATTTTTATAATTACTGCCACGTTCAATCATATTTCATATCCATCCTGAACGTTCTTCTTACTAAAAATTAAATATTCATTATTTTATTCAAAGTTTTCTTTTAGAGAAAAGAAGTAAATCGTTCTCCCTCAAACCTGTTCCTATAAAATAGAAAGAGAAAGGAATACTAATTTACAGCCTAAACCTGTAGTCGAAAAACCTTTGTAAAGATCGTAATATTCCCGTCGTGATTAATAATACCATCTTAGCGATGAACTTGTTAATTACTTGCTCACAGTCTACCGGCAGGTGAAGTGCGTTGAGAGAGAGAGATCAGAGAAGCGTGACGGGTTATTGAAGACATGACTTAAGAAAATCCTTTCTGCGTCTGCAAACCAAATATGTGTTCCATTTTCCTTCTTACATCGAAACCTTCCCCACTACTAAAGCAAGTGTCACGTAACTTCGAACAAGGCCAAGAGTAACTTTGAATGCTCAGAAGAAAAATTTCAGACAACTGGCCGACTGTCACTTCTCACAGCCTCGAACCCACCCCCCTGTCTGAAATTTTTCTTCTGCGCATTCAAGGTTACTCTTGGCCTTGTTCGAAGTTACGTGACACTTGCTTTACCTGACATTGATAGTAACCATTACAGCAGTTGACCTGCAAAGAAGATGGAGGAACATAGATTCGACGGTATTTAAGAACCGTATTTGAGGATAATTTAAAATGGGGAAGTAACAGGGCTGAGAAAATTGCATAATAGAGACCTTAACTAATTTGTAATCTTCACCATGTTTTTTATTGACTGATCAACCCACAGTATGAGGTTGGATGAGCATGTGGTGCGTATGGGAGAGATGAGAAATGCGCACAAAAATTTAGTCGGAAAACTGAATATAAAAATTCACTTGGAAGACTGAGTCCTACACGGGAGGATTTTCATGGATTAGAGTATAAAGTTGTAGATTGTACTTATCTGGCTCTAGATATAGACAAGAAGTAGACCTGTGGGAATAGAGTAATGAACCTCCGAGTTCCATAAAAGACGTAAATTTTCTGGGCGATTATTAAGTTATATTCTCCAGAACTCTGCCCTATGAAGTCAGACAGTATGAACTACTGAACATACGTCTCGCTGACTATACCAAAACAAATACTTGCGCCGTAACTTTCATATAACACAACTTTGTAATTTACACAGGCTTTATGTGATAACTGATTCGGATCTGACCAACAAAATTTATTTTATTTAATTTCTACATTTTCATACAGCATTATATTCTAACAAAATAAATCTACATATATATTAGTAATAATCTTTTTGTGTTTTCACCTGACGATGATGTCATACGTCGAAATGTGTAGTGAGAAAGTATAATAAATACATTTTTGTTGCGCGCTAGTGAGACGGTTGGTATAAAATACATACTTTATGTATTCTACATGTAACGAAGAACTAGAGAGACTTGCGACACAAAAGGAATCATCCGAGTTTGATTCCTTGTAATATTTTCTGTAATTTCGCGTTAGAATTATAAGTAAGCTCATTGCGTCTTTGTAAGTCTGAATTACATTATTCCATACTAGGAAATATATTGAAAATTTATTAATTTATTTTTGTCTGTTGTTTGTTCCTTTTGATTACATTTTTGTTTCCAGATGAAAATATGATTCTAATTTCTTCCTTGGACCTACAATTTTCACCGATTAAATTTTGTACCCTTCGTAAGCAAATTATCACTTCCCTTGTTTTTCACTGTAAAGGGCGTAACAAAATTAGGGTACTGCAAGCATGCAATATGTTAAATTTTATTATATATTTAAAACATTCATAGCTTTAAACATAACGTGATAAGTATGAAATAATTTATTCTTTTATTCATCATTATATACTTTGGTTCCTTCAGTAATCATACAATTATCATTATTATCATGGGCAAGACACTCCTTTTCGATATAGGGCCTTCCTTAGAATACAGTGTTACTATAAATGATTCATTCTATTTTAAAACACTATATTTTCCTAAGTATTATACATACAAAAACAATTATATATGAAAAGAACCGCAAACTCACTAAGTTTGCATCATGATACACCAGTTTGCAGCATGAGTGCAGTGCTTCACAAAATGGCGACGGAGCTGGAAAAGAGTTTCTGTGTATTGGAATATGCGAGATGTTCGTCTGTTATTGCAGTGCAGCGTGCATTCAGAGCAGAGCACAGAAAAGGACCACCATGCAAACAGAGCATTCTGCGGTGGTATCGGTCGTTTAAGGATACTGGAAAAGCACGGGGCGACCAATATAATGTCAGATGAAACAGTGGAGAGAGTGAGGAAGAGTTTCGTGGGCAGTCCACAAAATCGACTGCCAGTGCAAGCCACGAACTTGGAATCCCGTAGCAAACCGTGTGAAAGATTTTGAGACGGCAGTTAAAATTCAAATCTTACTGTCTGCAGCTCGTGCAACAACTGAAGCCGGAAGATTATGGCAAAATAATATAGTGTTTTTAAATGGAATGAATCACTTGTAGTAACTCTGTATTATGCCAGATTTATCTTGAATTAGACCATCTGATTTTCATTTTATTGGATCTGGCAGCAATAAATTTCTTTAGAGAGCAAGATTGTCAACCTTGAGTTCAGCCTCCAACCTGGAGGACCAGGTCCCTGTATTTATGTCCTCCAGTGACGGGGTGGCCCAGTTATATCCCCAGGCAGCCGGCTTAATTTTTCGTCTCCCTCTACGACTCACAGGGCCACGGTGGATGTATCCTACCCGCCTTCACAAGGTGGAATCATACAAATATAACATGTTCCAATATCTTAAGTCTCTCACGAAATATATGATTGTTGATATTAATTCCATTTAAAATAAGAAATTGAATATTGCGGCTTGATTTTGTGTATTCCTGGCGTGCCCGCGCCTACTTAAGACATTCTCTTCACATGGGTTTCTAGCTGATAACGGTCAATGAAGGTGTTGCGATTTAAATACTGGTGGAAAATTCAGGTGCTTTTTAAAAATGCAAATTTAGAAATTTGTTGTATGACAATTTTTTGTGTCCTTAGTTTATAGCACATTACATTAAGGTTAATATATTTACATAAGGTAATTTGAATAAATATGTTTCAAATAGAATTATTAACAGGGTCCGCTATTGAAATAGTGATATGGCTAAATTTTTATGCATACTACAAAGAGCAGTTTATGTTTAAAGAAGTCTGAAGAATTCGTTTCACCTTGTTTCAGTTTGGTGACAACTGATGTTGAGCTCAATGTTGTTCCTCTCGGTAGAAACTATGACGTTGGATTCAGTTTGCAGTGTGGTTAGAACCACGAGGGTAATATTAATGTACCTGACCGCAGCGACAAGAAACGGCGGTTGTCAAACGATTAATCCGCATTTATGCACTTGTATGGCTTGCTCTGTCTCCCGTCCAATTCTCTCTCTGGCGATATACAAATCTACATATAAACCTGTTGTTCCCTATACACGCACAGCTGAAAGTGTATGTACGAATACGAAATTAGGTATATAATGTTCTGCTGTATTTACCAACAGAAACAGTGAGCGATTTGCAAAAGAGGAATATCTGTATCAAGAGAGGGTCTTGATAGTCGACCTACTCACCGAGATTAAAACCGAGCATTTCCCTAATAGCGCTGCCGAAACATAAAACTGATCAATACTTAAGGATTATGTTAGATGAGACATTAATAAATATTTTTCTTCCCCAAAGAAATGCAATTCAAAGGCAGTACGAATCTATTTGCTTCGTAATGATTTTCTGACAGTTTTCTTCCTTGTATTACTCCTCAAACCTTCGTTTTCTTCATGTTAAGCTTCACGGTTTTGTGATACACTTTTGGGCGCACACGACTGAGGGGCTAATACCGCGGTAACTATGTTCACAGAGAAGCCCGCCGGAGCGCATCCCAGTGACAAACTGCACCCGGGAACTAACGAGATCATGGACCTATCGGACCCCCAGCAAATCTCCAAACAGAGAGGTGGGTTGTTTTTCATGCACCGCTGGGAGCACGAGCAATTGCGTCACTACACATACGCTTTGTGACACTTTAGTTAGTAAGCTGAAGTTTATTTCAAAATTCACCGCTTAAATCTGGACCCCAACTTCCCTAGGAATTTCTGTTTTTCTGCTAAACAGTTTCTCGAAAAGTGCATACGAGGTACTTAACGGATCTCAAGAGAGACTTCTTTATTTTGTCTGTGGGCTATTTATTTAGCGATGCTGTAGGTACCGAGAGTGCACGTCGTCGATGATAAGGTGATCAATGAGGATTTGGTGGAACGATAACTGGCAGAAGACGTATTCACAGAAACCCGGCCCAGAGTCACTTTGCCCATAAACTATTCAACACGACCTGACCTGGAATTGAAACTGGTACCCCGGGGCCGGAAACCAGCGACTAACTGCCTGAGTTATTAAGTGTCATTTAATATAATGCAATGAGAATATTGTTTGAAAGCAACAGATTAATATCCATAAATTAAATTCGATACAATTAACTGTTAAACATTTTCTCAGATATGCTTTAATATAATAAATTACTAAAAATGAGGATTTTAAATGGTCAGTAATAATCAGCAGATATGCAGTGACATGATTGAGAACATCCTGAGGGTTTTTCGCTCTAAAAAGATAGAAGCTGCACCTTGCCAGACCTAACAAGGCTCTAACATATTTCAATGTGCACAAAGTGGGACATATCCCCAGTAAATCTACCCTCACTTGCAATAGTAATAACGCATATTATGGGCATTTCCAGCATAATATTTATTACGTAGCATTTATGTTCATTCAGGAGGGTACGTAAACTGTATGAACACAAACCACTTTTGTCTACAGAAAACACTTTACGTGCATAATCACAAATTAAATTACTTAGAATTATTGATCATTAAATTTGTTTGTAACTGCAAAACCTTCTAGACAGGAGGGAATATTATATTACATGCGGATCAGCTAAGAGAAACAGTTTAGAGGCTGTTAAATTTGGAACAAAAGTATCTTGATTGTTTGCATTCTCTTGCGCATTATTATACGACCGTCACCACAACAAATTCCTAATAATCAAATCAATATTAATATAGTAACATTGATTTGTTTATTAAGAACTTCTGTTGACGGTTGAATGATAATATTGCAAACCACAGTAATCAGAAGGATGAAACTAGTCATTAACGAAAATATATAAACTAAAATGGATGATTCTAATCTGAAATTAATAGCATTGGAAAAGGAATGGCTATCGTACTTGGTCTGAATAGGAATAAACTACAGGCCCCAGTTTAATGTAACATTTAACAACATCCAGGAAATCTGATACAATATTATACACATTTTCCTCGTTGCAGGAGCAAAGAAAGAACTGAATCTATAATGCTGATAATTATCTGATATACATTCATTGCTTTAACATTACATTTGCCTTGAACTATCATTTCCTACCATTTTCTTGAAATCATATTCCACATATTATTCATATTATTATGGGTATTATTTTGAAACATTTCTTTTTTTAATAATTAATTTGGATGGATTTTGCAAATCCTACTATAGCATATATTCAGAAGAAATTCTGTAGATATCCTGAGAAGTATCGGGTGGTATTTTTAGGTGGCCTAACCATTTCCAAAATAGTGTTTCAGCTTATGAGTACTTGCTTTCTAACTTTTGCTAGTATACAGAGCTACCGTATCGTATTAGTTTGTCTCTAGAAATGGGTCAAGGTATGTGGGTATTCATTACACTGAACCCTGCAACAAAGTGTGCGAGAACAGATTACTTGAATGAAACGTGTCGCTTCAGAAAATGTCTAAATAAGATAATTATTTCGAACGGAACACAGAAGCGAACTTCTTCAATTCATATAAAATATATATTCAATAAATATAAGTAATTATTGCATAATTTGCATACTAATCTAATATGCTGAAGACACAAATCATAAAGTGGGGTGTATGGTTCTCACAGTGATGGTCATGAAGTGTTTCTCTCTTCTGGGAACCAATGTGAAATGAACAGGAAGCAGAGATCTTCTTGCTGCCTGCTTCATGCTGGTTCCTGTATTGGCCTACTCAGCAACCCTAACGATGGAGGCTAAAAGTACCCTCGAAACAACAGTTTTCTTTCAACGGGTTGCGTAGCGTTGTATCATAGAATATAGAACATTTTACTAAATTCATCTAAAATATTGTGTGGAAACTGTTAAAGGCTCTTACAGGATTTCACAAATTTTGTTCTTAACAGATCTGATGGAAGTCAAATGCAGTTAACGGTTTAACGTATGTGGGTTGTGTGATGCAAAACAGTATAGATAATCAGTCTAATACAAACACAGTAAGTCCGTTTGCAGACTCCTTTTATATGTTTGCTCAGCCGATTCTACTGCGAATTGGCAAAAGCCCCGTCAGTTTTTTAAGCATCCTCATTCCTGTTAATGTGGATTGCAGTCTTCCAAGATTCAAATTATTTCCGCTTAGCTTCATTTCATATTCCAAAAATATTCATCGTCGTATTATAGAGGCTGAGGGATTCAACAATAGCAGTTCGTTTAAAGCTGCGGATGTAAGCTTCAATATACACAGGTCCAGCAATTTGGTTTCCCCTGATGTTTATCATTAGTGATTCAGTCTTAAGGGTTTCCTCTCGCTCCTATACACAGCTCGATACGTTTGAATGTTTCATCTTGAATGGTAACAAAGCAAGCACATTTTAGTTTCTGCCTCCGGGAATAGAAGACCTCCGCATGGGGTTCACCGTCTAAATCAACCTTTATTTGGGATGGCTTTTTACGTATATTCGTAGCTATCTCGTCTTCTTAATAAAATATGTTCATCCACAAACTTAGGGACATAGAAAACGGGGGACATTTTAAGTAAAAATGAGCATAAAGCTCCTACCGAATTAATAATATCTGTTAAAGTACTGACGCTTAGGAATTTCTTTGCCCTCTAACATATTCACCGTGCTCATAACAGATTGCTTGGTCAGAAGAGGGAGTCACGTAGTTTCTGTAGACCAGTTATGGCTGCTTAGATCATGAATTCGATACCTAGTAGATCCAAGTTAAGGATCACAGATTCCTGTTCAATTTATCTATGCCCTGCATTTATCTCGAGTCGTCTCCGTATCTTAAGTGCTATCTTTAACGTCTGGCGATCCGTTGTCTCCATTCTTTGTGTTCAATTTATTGTAATTTTTGGTCTTTTTTTCTTCTTTTTAAAAATAAAAGGATGCGTATGAGATCACATTGCTGCCTGTGTGTTTGTGTATCCAACCTATCACTGTTAGTCACTGTCTCGGTAAACACGTTTCCGAGGAAATGAACACAAACTCAACACTAGAAGAACAGATAAACGCGGTATTCCCTACGCGGTCCGTTTCGTATCAAGTACTCAGTACGTAGTGAAAGGAAAGTAAGCTATTAGGTCTTCCCAGAACTTACCGCCAAGATGAACGTGTATTTCTCTCCCCTCCACCGACCGAAAATCAATGTCCACTGACTGGCAATCCTGATTCCTATCCTGAAAATCTTTTTCAAATTTTGACCAAAAGACCAGCTATACTTATTGACGACAAATATCTCAGTTTCTCCGGACATTTTCCAGACATTGTCTTATGGCGTCCATCAAAACCATTTCCATTTCATTATTCGGTAACCCTGAAGTGAAAATTCGGCGTCACACGGATAATATGAGCAACTGAAAGGATCACCAGATAAACAAAGAATAGAATTCTCCCTCCTACTCCTAGATCTTGCACATTCTCTTCATTTTCGTGGCTTTGCAGCTATAACTGGATATGAATTTCTAATCTCTTCATACGTATCTCATGCTTCGCCCATAATACATTAATTTTAGTATAATCACTGTAAAAATATTATAAGAATACAATATAAATAATGAAACTCCTCATTATCTAATTCTCTGCAATATTTTCGTTGCTTCCTATGTGAGCATCTCTGTAGTTCGAACACCAATAAATACCATCCAGGGCCGCGCCATAGCAGTCGCTGGCTTCCCACCTCGGCGGCCCGGATTCCATCCCGGGTCCGTCAAGTGGGATTTATGGTAGACAGAGTGGCGCTGGGGCAAGTTTTCTCCGAGTACTTCGGTTTCCCCTGCCAACCTTCATTCCACGAATTGCTCCACAATCACCCTCACCTATCATCTTGGGCTGGTACAATAGGCCAGAAGTGGCCGCAGTACAAGGGACTTAGTCCCACTCCACTATCATTAAAAAAATACCTTCCAAATTGACGCATATACAAATTAACTACGTTTTTGCGATTTCGTTAATCATTTTATCACGTTTTTCAACTATCAGTATGTAAATTGTCTCTCATACTAACAAAAGTTAAGTCGAGGTACTCATCCAAATCAGTAGATCTGCAATGATATGAGAAGTCCCAACAGCTGAGGTGGAAAGAAAGGAAGTGACGGGAACTGACAAACTAGGGCATGCTAAGTCAATATACAAGGAAGGGAGTAAATCTTAAATCTTATTACCAATCCGACACAGTGAGCAATAAAAATTTCATCTTTTAGTTGTAGAATTATTCTCTCAGATGTCAAAATAATTTCTAATGATTTCTAACAAGCAAATCTTAATGGTGAAAAGTTCGGTTTCCATCCAGTAAACCTATTATTCTTGCTTAAGAATATCATCACTTTCCTAAGATCTTCCAGATATGTATCGGGACAGAAACTTAAATAGGCCACTACCAATTCCTTTTCCGTATTTACCAATTCAACATTTTTAATCTTATCATTATTTCTCTTTCTGCTCTAAGTTACGTTTATAGTCATATGTAGTTAGTTTACAAAGGAACATGTGTTCATGCGCTCTATGTTTGGGTTTCAGATTTGAAGTTGAGAGGTGGTAATCCCAGTGATAACAGCCTGGACTTGCTCGATATCGGGTCTGGTTCAGGAAACACCTCACTGTCAGTTATATCACTTTTTCTGATGCTGGTGGTCCTCATTGTGCGGCATAACACCTGGACGATCGTTCAGCAAACGCCATATAGAATCAGGACCAGATCTTAGTTATTGGAATAAACACCAATCACAGAGTTCCAATGCATCAAATGTAGTGAAATTCCGACTCGCGTTTACTTACTCGTCCAAAGAAGAAATTTACTCAAGAAGACTGGCTTTGAAATGAACTTATGTCATGAACATCACATATTATTGTTAAGTATGAATATGTGTTGAAGTCCTTCAGGGACTTAAGCGAGACATGTAAATACACGTAGCCAAAATTACGAAGCGGTCCACGTTCTTCAGAAGGTAAAGTATTTGGCTTCATGTGACCTAGCAATGTAAGCAAGAGAATGCGTGGAACTATTGAAATGTGTTTGTGATGTTGTTCCAAAAGTGATAACACAGGAATTGACCACAGTGAGTGTTTCAAAGAACTGCGCTAATAAGTTAACTCAGGGAAACTAAACTTAACAATGGGTTAATACTTCTGGTCTCAAAATATATATACATTGCTAATGATTACAATATGTGTAACGTTCGAATCGATTAGACGGGCGCCTTTCTGTGTGAGATGCAGAGAATTCTTAGAACATCTAAGATCATTTGAATTTTACTCTAACCTCCAAACGTCTTCTTTAATAAGGACTGTACTCTACATAAAATCCTGAATTGAAGATCTTTCAATGAAGACAACTGAGACTGACAAATACACAATCTTATCCTAGGTTCGAGAATTGGATAAGATTTTGAAGTAATTTTAGTTCATATTCTAGAATTGCAGATGCCACTAGTTAGTTTTAAAGGCATTCTGATAAATCATAAATTAAGAATAAGATATTATATTGGAAATATTTAAATCGGCTAATATAGAAGAGAGGCATAAATCCTCCCTTTGAAAAATATTTGGATAGAAATTTACAGCATATCCGAATGAAGATTCAATATCAATGATTAGTCTCGTAACAGTCTCGTCAGAGAAATTTATAACACAGTGTGAATATTTTAAATGTAAAAATAAAACTCTGATTAATACATCAGTTGCTGCACATCTCAAATCAAAATACGACGTTACAAGGTGTTGAAAAATGCAGCCTTGAATTATTCTTCTCTGAGAAAGTGAGTGGACGATTCGTACAGTGAAGTGTGTCTGTGTACAATGTGACTTTCAGGATAAGAATTATGACTTCGAACATTATATGTGTTTTAGGATTGTAAAGGCTTCGTACACAATATGAGGGTCTGTTCTTCCACCGATTTGTGAGATTCGCATCATGAAAATGATTCCTGCTGTATACTGCTTGTCTTGGTTGCACGTTATTCTGTTGTCAGAAATTGAACGTGCAACGAAGAAACGCAAAGCCACCTACTGAACTGCAGACACGTGACGACTGAGTGAACGCCAGAACAAACAGGACGCAAACGTTTTCTTACATGTCATGATGTAATATGCATTCATTTAAAAATATTCCGCAACAAGAAACATTTTTATATACTCAGTTTTCTAAACAGATATGTTAGTAAATAAAATGTTCATCATCATGTACGGTTAGAAAATAATCAGTTTAATATCTGAATCAGTAATCTGTTTCTCAAAAATATGTATCCGAAAATGTCTCGAAACTCCCGTAGGACACTACAAAAAAGATATCAATATGAAAAATATGGTGTACCAAAATTAATACGAATGTATAACGTCTACCTGTTCAAAATTAAGAATCTGTCTTGATATCATGCTTAAAATTATTTTAGTTATGATATGCCATGCTCATTAACGAAGCCAAAGAATAAAACAATTCGAACTGTGCTGGCTTCCTTAAGCCTGTGATACAGATCAAGGCAGATATTTATATATGAACTCTATGTTAACAAATCTCTTGTTTGAATCATCACAACCAATGAAATGCTACGCAGGTTTCTATGATAAAGTAGAAAACAAAATAATTTTGAAATAAAGTACATGATTTTGAAACTGTAAAATCTTTTACGTGTTAACTGCTATGATTTCGTAATTATATATTTATAAGCACTAAAGCTACAAGAAAGTTGCCGTAGCTGGAGGTTAGAGCATATTTATAATTGCATTATGGCATTGTAGTTTAAAATATAAAGGCTTTCTCGAATTCGCAACATTACTTTATATTTTAATGTAAATATACTGCATAGATCACTAGGCACTTCAAGTCGTCTTAGTAAGTATTAGTAAGTACATTTATTTCTGTAACACTGAATTGGACTTAGCTCTTACTCTCTTACATGTCAGCAAGTTTATGCAGTGTTGATGGCGCAATATGACACCCCAAGTCGTCCACTTCAAGCATTTGACATATAGAGGGACGAACATTAAATTCATGGCTGAGAGAAGCGGTTCTCAAACTTTAGGTCTGCAGGATTTTCATCCAAATTATTAAATATATTCACAAAAAATAATTGTAGATTCTAATTCATTTTTCCATACGCGGTTACAAAATACTTATCCAATACTTACGAATTGTGTTAAACTATAATTCTCTTTTGAACTGAACCCAATAGAATATATATTACATTACGTAAATTAATTATGATATTACATAATTCGTTCAAAAATCCTTTTGTCTCAATTACATTTTAATTTTTTAAATTATCCGGAAATGTTAATTACTTCTAGACATAAATTTTCCCGTTATTTCTATGGCTCTTATACAGTGGTCTTGTTAGATAAAAACGGAGTATTATTTTTTTTGAAGAGAAATATAATTAGATAAAAGTAAATAATTTGTGATTTTAAATAATAGCCGAGGATTATAAAGAATTACAAAGTAACTGCAGTAAATATGAAAAATCTCGTGAAAAGAATCGCTTTTACCAGTAATTGTGAATATAGGTGAATAATTCATAATTACCCGTGGAAGTGATAATTGACACGAGATTTATAATATTTTCCATTTTTTTATAATTCTGTGTTTATTACTCCTAATTATCGATTTATTCACATTTATCCTGTTATATACATGTAGGCCAAACTAAAAATATAACAAACTAAAAACTTCATGCTTCAATTCTGTCTCATTGACAACAAAACAACACCTACTTCAAACAGACACTTGTTATAAGAACAAATTGAAAATTGTAAGATTTGAGGCTTTCACGGCGGTGACTATGAAGAAAGCAGTCTTCTGGGATTTGGCACCGTGTATATGTGGTGTTAACCGACGTATCGGAGGAACGTATCGCCTCCATCTTCAGGGTAGAAGGAAAAATATAAAAAATCTGCAAAGCGAAGAGACCGTGAGAACCGGTACAACGCCATTATCCAAAGGATAAGACTATGAAAATATCATATCTTCTGAGCCTCATTCTTAACGCATGATCGAGTTTCATCTGGCTCTCGGTTATTTTGACAACTTTGGTAAGTTTCATGCATCGTTCCTGGGCTATGACAAGAGAAACTAAGGTTTCAACGCGACGTAACCTGAGTAATTATTGAAAGCTGTAAACTATACATATTTAAGAGCAAATAATCGATATTTAATATAAAATTTGCCTCTCAATAATCGATTCTATAAATCAATAATATGGTAACTGAAAAATGAAAAAAGTAAATTCTGACGGAATCTGACGATAATGTATACCACTTGGGATTACTGAGTTTTTGGACATCGTCCATCGTCCGGTGTTCTAACGCACATAACATTTGGAAGCTGGATTTGTTTCCGTGAAAGGGTGGAAGGCACCTACTTTTTGGATCCGTTAGAGAGAGCTAACCTCAATCACTGAAAAACCGAATCATTATAATTATACTTATATATACATCTGAGAGCAGGATTCTTGTTTCTGGAACGTTGTTTCATTTGAAACACTGAATGATGAACACAGTTAAAAAGGTCTATAATCTGAGTGTACAGTCTGAGAGCCGCTCCCCTTGACTAGATAGGGAAAGCTAGAAATGTACTGATCAAGAATTACACGGTTTAGGTTACCCAGACTGATGTACAGCTTAATTTTATGTGTCTGTACGTATGTGTGTGACTGAAAATACATGGTGAACATATTAACTATGGGGCTAATATTGAACCATTTTATATCAATTAATTTAACCTTAAAATATAGGAAAATTCCTCTGATCCATGAGTATGTCTTAATTCCTTTCCCAGTTCTCAGTATTCTCCACTCAATGCCATACTAAGGCCGTATGTAAAATCGATCACATGGAAATTAACAGCACCAGTATCTGAAAATGGTAATTCTTACCCAGACATATATTCCTAGATCGATTTAATTAGACTGGTACTCATCAGTCACTTCCAGTAGTTTATTCAGCTTACATGGCCGAGTAGTTAAGTACTCTTTCTTAATATTAAATACCCATAAGTACATACATCGACTGGATATATACATTATTCATACAGCAGTGTATTACAGTTAGCTTATAGAGCACTGAAATTCATGTCCTTTAATATTAAAACATGTTTTAAACAGCTAGTTCAGGAGTGAACGCCATTTTGGCTGGCAAGCAACATAACTGGCTCACGTAAGATTTGCGTGACACGCATCTTCATCCATGTTTAATTTCAAAGATCTCTTTATTATTAATTAATATCATTATATATTTATTGGGGGCACGCGGTAGTGTAGTTGGTTGAGGCATTATGCTACAAGCAGTTCGTGGGTTCAGTTTCCGGGGTCATTGGTTTTTTTCAATTTACCTAATATTTTCAGCCGCGCTAAGGGCCTGGGGTCGACTTAGCCTCTGTTACAAATAAGTACCAGGAATCTTCCTGGGGGAAATTTTCGGCCGGCGCGTAAGACTAACAACCTCGCCGCCATCTGTTAGCCGATTGTATAGAAAATTTTATAGCCTCGAAATCTCACAAACTTATAGGCCTTCACAGTCTGTTACAGGGATAGCTCTACGTTTTTGTTTATACTTATTAAAATGAGCTAACAAAAGGTTTAAACTGAACGAAGTAAATTACAATCTAGAAGCGTAGAATTAATGGTAAAAGGAAAGTTGTTCGTGTGCTTAAGTAATTAAGCACTACGCCATGAAGGCGTATGGAGAAGTGGATGTTTAGATCCACATTATATTGACCTCGGCACTAGCTTGAGGTGAGTGGTCAGCTTCACGCTCCTGCCGCTTTATCCCCGAGGAAAGAGCCCCCGTACCCATTAGATAGAAGGTTTGGTGGGCCCTAGAATCGGTTTGAAAGAAATAGAGAAGAGAAATTTCTTGAGCTTACCAGGACTTGAACTCCGACCCCTTCGGTCGTTCAGCCCGTAGCCAGTCGCTATACCGACTGCGCTAGAAGCGTTCTTTCGTTAAAGTTATTGTAGGCTTACGATAAATCGGATTGTATTTACGACGCAACTGTAAAGAAGAAGCACATAGTTCTAGCACATTTTATTTCAAATTTAATAGGTAAGTGGGTACCATTTTTAAAGTGCAGCCATGACACTCCTGAGCTAGGGCAACACATGTTAATACAAAATTTCTTATCTGTAAAGCATCATATTAATTACACATAACTATCAGAAACAGTGTTACCTTCTCTTTCATCAGAATTAATGTGAAATTGCCTCTTTCTGAATCACATTTTGCAATAGATAAGTATAGCCTCTGCAGGCTGAATGGGATAGATATTAAGTGAGTCATTACTGGGGAATGGAGCCATGGCAATCTTAATCTCTTTCGAATCTTATTCTTTGCATTCAATACATGTCTGAGAACAACAAAAATTAAATGGCACAAAGGGAATAAGTTATTCTATGTAATTTGATTGGGAAGTTCTAATGAACTTTTAATTAAAATTACGGAATATATATTTCTCTTCAATTCAAGGACAATTTCACTCCTGGGTGGAGGCGGAGTCGAATACCTTCACCATGAGTCTGCGAGTCGTAGGAGGCGACGTAAAGGGAAGTCTAAAATCTGAGACAGTAAAATAGGGTCGCGAGTCACAAGGGACTCGGACACGAGAGAGACTGCGCTGGCAAGACCAGCAGCATATACAAAAAACAGACCCGCCCTCTCGTCAGAGAGAGAGAGAGCGCCCCACAAAAGCAAGACCGTAGCTGTGAAACAGTTATAAATATCTGGTCATGAGCACCAGATGGGGCTCGACACCAACACTTACTGACTGACTGACCGTCAATAGCAATGTGACTTTGACTTTGCACAATTTCATTATTTCAATAAGTCTTGATAAACAGAAGGACAATGTACAGTTCAGTGTTCAGTAGGCTGACAACTTTTTAAATATTCGAAACCCGACAGCCCCTTTAGAATACGATCAATTCTATACGTAACATAGAGACGTATTTTCATTTTGAAAGTGAAATATTACGTAACAAAAACCCTATTGTTTTTTGAAAGTAGAGACCGTATCATGTTAGTACAACCACTGCAGAAAGGGCAACTAAACACCCATTTATGCTGTTCAGGTAGAGAGGCTAATAGCTTTTCGAGTGTGTAAACTGTAACAGGATGATTACATACGTAATCAGTGACTCTGCACAGCTACTTAGGAAGCGGTGATTGAGAGTAAAGAATCCACACGGGCTGAAAACCAAATTGTGATGAAGCAGCTGCTGTGAGAAGAGTTGGATTTCAGAGACAGCATCGGGATGTAGAGGCTTCAGCAGACCCACTTTCTGTACAACCAACGCCGTACAGGCTGACTGGCGGCTTGCATACTGGCAAGAAGTAACCATTAAGATCAACTTCGAGAGATGTAGCACAATCCACCAGAAGTTTAAGCTCAAGAACAGTGTCATAGGACTGTTGGTAATGTTCTCAAAGAATATGGTAAACAATCCCAGGAGAAATTTCAGAGCAATAGTTGTCATGACTGCCAGAACTTCGAACATGATTGGTACTTGGTATGCGGAATTAATTGTTGTGGCTATGTGATTCAGT